AGACCCTTGTTTTTTCCAGTGTGATAGTATTAGATTTCCTCAGCAAACAAGTCACAATTAACATCTTTTTCACAGTAAACAAAATTATGTTAAAAAAAAAAAAAAAAACAACAAAAACCTGGCTAAAACTCCTTATACAGAAATTCATCTGACTGTAAACCTCTAAGAGAGCCTATTGCAGATTGAAATTTGCCAGGGTTATTTGCAGCTGAGATACTTTCTTGAAGTGAGAATGGTAGGGTAGCCTTGATGTACTGGTGACAAATTGCATTTGTGTATAATAAGAACCTTGTCTTTGGGATTTCCCTGGCAGCTGTGGTTATCACAAATAGAAATTGCAAGCTGTGATTCTGGCAGTGTCCTTCCTGCAGGAGAAGGGCAGAGCCTTCTCATCCAAGCCTCTCTCTTCACATATGGAGTAGCTGCAGGAGACTCACAGTCCGGCTCTCAGCTGCCCCCAGAAACATCATTTAGTAGAGTTATCGAATTCAGGACATAGAATATCAGTAGTTTATGGCTTTTCTCTGTGTATGTAGTTGTTTATAAAGTACACTTCAATAATGAATCTTCAAAATGCATTATTGTTCTCATTAATCAGTTGAGTTTCCTCTCCGTTGTAGGCTCTATGCTGCTAAGCTGTTTGCTTTAGTAATAGTAAAAAAAAAAATAAATAAAATTTTGAGCTGTTAAGTAAATGAATTTTATCCATAAATACTGCGCATTCCCAGTGAAGTTGTTAAATTGATATTAAATCAGAGAGAGATCTTATCTTCTTACCTTTCACATTTATTGACTGTAAACAAGAATTGTATCGCTTTTCAGCAAGATGGCTACCAACAGGCTCAAGCTCAGAAATGACAACTGTGGTCAAAACTTCTCCAAGAAACGTGTCACTATTTCTTTTTGTGCCCCCAAAAAAAAAGTATTTATTTTTTTGTCCATTTCCATCTGAAACACTTTCATAGTTCCGGACTACAGATGAACACAGTTTTTCTTCAGGCAAACAACTGACAAATCCCTTAGAACAAGGTATTTCAAGAAACAGCCTGTGCATTTTGACTTATTCAAATTTCATTCAGAATTACAGAATATCAAGATTTCACTAGGCTGTGACTATTGATTTCCCTGTTTTGCACATTTTTTTCATTATTTCAGTCCTTCTCCTTGCCCATAATCCTCTCTGTATGGGAATTGTATAGGTTCAAATTTTATCTCCTAATGTGAAATCTTCCTGATATTTAGGTCCGTTGTAATTATACATCAGATCATTTGCATTGTCAAGGCAATACATTATTTTCCTTACCTTCTTATATTTAGCTTGAAGGACTAAAGAAATGGAATAAACAAGAATTCATAAGATAAGCTGCAATCTAAGCCTGTCATCTGAAGCAGGCCAGCATTAAGCTGGTCTAGGATTGATGAAAGAGAGCTGCATTAGATGAGAGTGGGAGGACTAAAAGTAATTTCTTTCACTGTCACTTCCGTGGTAATTCAACTCTTTCAGAAAACTCTCAATAAAATTGCTTTTTTGCTGGTTCCGTTTACTCTGGAAAATATCTTTTCCTTCCTGCACATGCATTCTGAAATTTTTAAAGGCAAATTAGGTTTTTAAATGATTTTTAGTACACATCAAAAGTGTCAGCTGAATTATACCAGGAGCGTATAATTTTGTAGCCACAAAATAGGTGATCTATGGGTAGTGACATTTTGTGCTGCATTATATTCTCTTGCCAGTGTATTGGAAGGGCCAAGTCTAAAGAATACTACAGCCTCTGTATTCATTTAAGGTCTGTCTCTTAGGCAAAGACAAAACAACTCCAGGATGGCTGAGTGTCTTCTTTGATTTCCATTTGTTTCATGAGTGGAGCTCAGTATTTGTAAATGTTGTTCAGCATGCTACAAGAGTGGTGCTTTTAGTGTAGCCATAACCATCATGTTAACTCCTATAGGAGAATTTTTCTGTAGGAATGAAGTGTGATAGGACAGATTTTACTCTTGCCACCACCATGTGTTTACATTGCATCAAGTGGACCCCTTTGCAATTAGGAGTTAAGTTTTGTTGGTATGATAAAAAAGACAATTGCAGGGAAAGACTTATTTCATCTTCTTGGCTCCTTCCTCCCTAGCACTGTGTGTCCTGTGCATAGCCCCTTATGGCTAGGACATGCTGTTCTCCATAAAGTTGTTCACGCACCCAAAACCTGTTCTAGACATCAGGAGGCAGAGCACAGGGAGGTTTACAAGCATGTCCCCTTCTACATACTAATTTTCAGTCAACAGCAGCAACTTTTAGGTCTGTAGCTCTTTTGTGTGGTAACATTAATGTCAACCCAATGTTTGTTGCTCTCCTGAATGACTTGGTACTCTTCTGTACTGAGAAAACATGTAAATTTGGACTGAAAGAAAACTCTGGGAAGTTTTATCCAAAAAAAAAGAAAAAGGAAAAAAAAAAAAACACAACGGGGGGAAGGGAGTGAAGAAGTTTCCTAGAGGTGAGCTGTCATGGTGCAGGAAGTGTTTTAGCAAACAGTGCAATAGAACAAGACTGTATCACATTAAGGTGCCTAATAGATGCCAAAGAAATGATACTATGGCAGTAAAAGATCTCCTTTGATTTTTATTTCTTTCTTTCACTGGGAGAGCTGGAGTACCCTGCCTGTACTGCTTAAAAATCATGCAGCTGTGTCAGTCCTGCTTTAAGAAATGGTGGTTTAAGCAGCGTCAGTGCAAAGATTTTAAAGTAGGGCAGGAGCGATGAATTATTTTGGTATGTGTTTATTGTATGTGTGCTTGGATGAGAGCTTTGTCCTCAAGCTTCATTTATTGACTGCTGTTACACAAGGTACAACTCTGAATTAGGAACAAAGCTTCAAACTGAAAGCACTCACAGTTCTGTGGTTAATGTGGGTGCTAGAAAAGGTAACAATGAATAGTGGGGACAACCTTACTGATGCATGGGAACACTATATTGTGTATAGGTAGGGGAGTGCTAGGAGTGGCTTTCATGGTGCACAGCATCCTTGCTTGAAAAACAGAAGGCAGGCGTGTGACTTTAAGTGCTCCTCTTTTTTCTGACATTTCATTTCAATTAAAAAAATATGTGAGAATTTAAAGTTTTACTCGTGAAGTTGAAAAATGAAAATGCAAGAATGTCCAGGAGTTCACTGGGTTCTCCTCTATCACTCTACTCATTTCAACTCAGTATGAAGATTATCTGTAGAGACTGGCACCTGAAAGTTAAAAGGGCAAACAGCCTTTTCTAATAAATTGATCTAGCTGTATGCACCTTTCATTTTATTAAAAATCATTTTTAAATGAAGTATTCCAAAGACATTGCAAAAAGTATTGTAAAGTAGAAATATTCTATTAAAAATCATTTAACATTTGTGTGGGAGAGAAAACCCAAATCTTCAGATGTTGAAGTTAATGTTCATCTTCAAAAGTCCTTATGTTGAAATGATATCTCCCAATCTGATTGGTAGATACTTATTCCAGATAATTACATGGCATCTTGGAAATAAAAGGAAATTTATTTCTGACTGTGCAGGTCTAATACAGATTTTGTCATTCAGTACTGGAATTCTTAAAAGGCAAAGGATTTCCATACTTATATACCAAAAATATAAATGAGTGGAGTCAGTTATTATTATTTCACATACGTTTCAACTCCACGTTACTGAAGCAGGAGAAGAAAATAATGAAATTTGTTTCCTGTATGGTGATACAGGTTTCCCAATGCTTTGTATGGGTAAGACAAGCTTTGAACAAATGAGTAAAGTCATCCTTCATATTCAAGCATTGGTTAACTATCTAGTTTGTGTACATAATTGAAAATCACTTGTATTTGGAATGGAAAGAAGTTTAATTTGTATTCCCTTTAAATCCAGTTGCTGGGGAAGCAGGAAGGGATTTTTTACGTAAGTGAAGGTCCAGCACAAAATATTTAGAGATGATTGAGTCAGTAACAAACTGCTTTTGCAAATCCCAGGTGTTGTACCATCATAAGATTTTGTATCTGAGAAAGCTATCACAAAAATAATGACACCTTTTCAAATTGCTGAGTATATGGGGTGAGGAAAAGGGTAAATATCTTGAGCACTTGACTGTGGGTGTTTGCTGCATTCACCTGTCCCTCCTAGATACATGCAACTGTGGCAAAACTTACACTGAAGACAGAATGGGAATTTTTAAAACAATGACTTTTCCTTCATCTAAAAATCATATATTTTTAGCTGAAAGAGCTCTTTCAAAGTCTCTGAACTAGTGTTTTTTTGGGGGGCAGCTATTTGAATGAAAAATAATGCTTTTCATGGCTTGGTAAATTGGGCTCTGGTCACGCAAGCAGTGTTGTGCAGCTCATCCTGGTAGGTTTAATTGCTGTTAATGTTTTGTTTACATGACAGTTGGATTTTAAAGGAAAGCAACTATGAGAATACAAAACAATTTTACAGTCTTCTTTAATAGATGCAATTTTTGTGAATTTTTGGGAGTTTTTGCATATTCAAGTTCACTTGCAGCAACTTGTGCACATACCTATAATTCTTATGAGCATCTTTCTGCCTATAGAACTGTGAAATGTAATTGTGTTTCAGTGGGAGTTTAACTTTATGTTCTCAATTATGCAAGAAAAACTTAATTAAGATTTCTAGATGAGATCTCTAAGGAGAGAACAATGTAAGAATTTATTTTTGCTGATTTAATTCTGAGATCTTGAAGCCTATTTCCATTACTGGACAAGACTGGCAGATGAATTGCAATTAAAGGCAAAATAGCAAAAGAGATTAAATACAATAAGGACAGCTGAGAGTGTGGGTTCCTTCAGGATTCTTCACTGAATAGAAGGTGTGGCTCCAAGTCCTGCTCAGTTTAATACAAATACTTCCTTTGGTCAGTGGTTGACCTTGGAGCCTAGATCAGTTCTCAAGAGCACTACATGAGCCATGAGGATCTGGGTTTCCCTCTGCCAAATGCAAACTCTTGCTTTTCCTTCTTCCCCTCAGGAGGAGAGGTTCCATACACAACCCTGGCAACCAGACTGATGATGGGAGCTTGGTGGCTTTTTGCTTTGATTGTCATCTCCTCCTACACGGCAAACCTAGCAGCTTTCCTCACCATCACTCGCATCGAGAACTCCATCCAGTAAGTTGATAAAGAATGAACTGAGGGAAATGAGGGTGCACATATATATATACATGCAGAGGGGTATGAATGTTCTACTTAAATGTGAGAAAAGGAAGAAATTTTTATCATCCTGAGAAGCAGTTTGGGAGTTAAAAAAAATAACAATATAGCATAGACTGCAAGTCTCCCTAGAGACACTTTGTCTTTAGGATAAGAATTGTTTTCCTCTGGCAGATGCTCTTCTATGGCATATATACATACATATGTATGCACCCATACATATTTTGAAAGAAGCAATTGAGTTGGAGATAACTGGTGTATCAGTATTTGAAAGGGGAAGCTATAAGTTGTTGCTGTGTGCTTTCAGGCTGTGCTTTCCATTCAAATGCATTCCATTATACTTGTGCTCTGACACTTTGATCAGAAGGAGCCCGGTATTTCTTCAGTGTATGGGGAGCTCAAAGCTGAATTCACTTTTTTCTTGCCAGGGCAAAGATGGGTTCATAGCAACAAACAATAAAAATTCACTTATTAGTCATATTAGCTCCTTCAGTTCCCCGGTGCTCTCTTACTACATTAATAGATCACACTGTTCTCTTTTTCTGTCTATTGGTTCTTTTGCTTCATGCCTTCCTATCATGAATGTCCTTGTCTTCCCCTGTTGCTTTTATGGTAAACTGTTTTTATGTCTCACCTTCCAGTCCTTCTTTCCAGATCATCTCGTCTCTACATACCACAGAAACCTTTTTAGGTCTCTTATCCCTCTCTCTTCTCTTTTATTCTCCAGTCTCTTCTCTGTCAGCAAGCTGCATGCTAAGTTATCCTTGCTCCCACCACTCAAGTGACCTCCTCCACCCTCAAATCCTTCCTCATGAGTCAAAGCAGAGATTGAAAAATAGAGTGAAGCATTAGCTAGCCAAGCACTCCAAGAGGCAGCTGGCCATTTTTCCATAGCAGGCTTTTGATCTTGAGGCTATGAATCTGTGAAAGTATGTGAGAATGACAAAGTTAGTCTTTCGCATAAATCCTTCTTTACAAAAATGATAGAGTGACATTGAAGAAGAGAGGCACATTCTGCTGTATTTATTCCTCAAGAAAGGTAAGAATGTGATCTTCAAGTCAGGCTCAATTCTGACCTTAGGGAAAAATCAGTTCTGTCACTCCAGTTGTTGATTCAAGTCCTTGTCTTCTGTGCATTGTCACCTAAGGTCTTTCTGCTGGTAGTTCAGTTGCTTTCCAAATCTCTTTGAAATGCCTTCTGACACCGTGAGCCACTGGTGTAGACTTGGCAGGGGTAGCTTTGGCCTCTTGTGAATTCATGGGTGAGGTACAAGTGTCACTGCATGCCAGTCAGTCACTGTGGTTTCACTAAGGCACTCCTCCTTTAGTTGAGTATTTCTGCGTTTTAAAACTACTCTGGGCTTTAACAGCATGTAGTTAAGTAAAGGTCTGCAAGAGCAGCCAAGTTTTGTTTTCAATTAAAAGCCATAGCTCATACCCAAAAGATGAAGCAACCCTTCACTTTGAGTGCGTGGTTATCTCCTGACTCTCCCCATTAGGAGCCTCCTGTTGCACTTCATAAACCCTTTCTCTTTCTCCCTGCTCCTTGTGTGAGGGAGGGCCCAGGACAAAGTTGCCATCCTGTGGCCCAAATTGCCCAGGCATTACCAGTCCTTATTCATTCCCATTTGGAAATTAAGTATCTATGGTTGTTACCCTTCCTTTCTGGGCTATTGACCTCAATCCTTTCACCTATTAGAGGGGTAATCACTCTAAATAAGACAGATACATGTAAAACAGACTAAAATCACATGAGCAAATTATTCCCCTAATACTGTTGTATTACCAGTTAAACTGAGTTATCATTTTCTTTTGACATCTGAATAATAGACTTTGAGATCATGGAGTACTGCAGTGGTATTTTGGCACAACCTAGCCGTTTGACTCTGTAGTCCCAATTATAATCCCTTCACAATTTATGGGGCATTGAAATGATACTCTGCATCAATGTTTGTCAACATTGATCTTCAGGTTTTGAGGGAGGTTGATTTTTTTTTAAAAAAAATTTCAGATTTGACTAAGTAGCATGAAGAAACAGCATGGAATTGGTACATGCGAAATAATAGTGATGCATTCAGTCATTCAGTTTGTCCTTACAAACATGAAATATGCCTCTGCATCCTGCTTTAAAATTTTGTGCCTTCAAGTTTTGAAGTGGTCCAGAAAAATGGTGAAATTACTGTGATAAATGTCTGAGTTTTCTTATCATATGTAAAAAAGAATAAAATATACCCAAGCTATAATTTAATACATCTTCAGCTTTTTTCTTGCCATTTATTATGATGTCACTAGAAAACCCTCAGTGGAATTCTGAGGTTATTATGTACAGCTGGGACTACATTGGTCTTTGTGCTGTATTATTTATGAGTAAAGTCACTGAAAATGTTTTATTCAGTAGAAAATGTTGCAGCTGGAAAGCTCCTGGAATGAAAGAACAGAGACATTTTTCAACAGGGCTTGCAGCTCAAAAGTAGAGTAATTAGATGTGCTAAGTATCCATTAGGGAATGAAGTTATCCTAACTACGGTGGGAGTGCAAAACTTTTATTTACAAAACTGCCAAAATTGGAACTCAAACCAGCACATAACAGAGAGGCTGTTTGTTTACCATGCTGAATTACTGCAAAGTGGGAAACATGAATAACCAATAAAGGAAAAAGCTGATGCTCTTCTTCTTTTTTTTTTTTTTTTTTAAAACAGATCAAATTGTACCTTGGGGAGCTTTGAAGGCCAGAATGGAAAGTAGTTTAAGTATTTAGAGGAAATAAACCAGATTCTCTTTGTAGAGCTATCAATCCAGCTTCAGAAAAGTCAGAAAAATAAAAGAAGTTTAAGTCAGTGGGTTTGCATAGATGTAACAAGTAGTTAACAGGTTTTCATTTCAGATTTCCAGCTAGCATCAGATAATACGTTGTGCTGTTGAAAGTGCAGTCCTTGTGATGTCTTTTATGAAAGATAGGAGGATTCAAGCAGCCCACTGCACATTTCATTTCTGGGAAACTTTTTGGTAGTTACTGCATTTCAGCTTTTGGATGTGTAGTCAGTCTGGGTTCAGAGCTCTTGCAGCTTCCCTTTCTCAGCTGGTGTGAAGGTTGGGCCACTCTTCCTAGTCAGTGCCTAATGGTATCCAGAAAACTATTTTGAGAATAAAACTATACAAACTTTTGTTAAGCAGTGCACTGGGAAGGATTAGTGAAATGCTCCCTCTCCCTAGGGTATTAAAGCAGATCTTTGCTCTGTAACCTTACTTGAAGTTGGTGTAATTTGTTCTCTTGCTTCACTGATTAATTTGAATCAAATTGTTACAGTTTTTAAATGAAGTCAGAGGAAGAAGAAGAGTAAGAATGGGTGTTAATTTCCTTTTCCAGACAAATGGTTACTCTTTAAACCTTTGGGAGCTCAGCTTTTCATCCTCTGCCAAAAGGCAATATCAGCAGTAGAAGCACGCAAGTCATAAAGTGGTTCCTAGATGCATCTTTTGTTCACACTTGACCCATGTTGCAGATGACATTTAAATCAAGGCAGCATTTCAAATGCCAAAACATTGTGGCAGCGAAGGAAAGCACAATTTCTGTGTTCCTAAAATCTTTAGATCATTGTCTCAAATGCAATGTGAATGGATAGTAATTAAGAGTGGTATTTCTTGGTAAATGCCAAATAAATGTGGAGGTCTTGAGCTATTTCTCATAGGTGCTGATGCTGTGAATTTCATCACTGAGCCAGTATTGCCATTACTATGTTTTATGGTTCCCTTAGGACAGAATTAGAGTCCATTTGCAGAGACTGATTTTGCTCGGACTACTACACTGCACTGTTTTTCTGGGTGAATGGAGGGTGTCACCATCTTCTTATGGGCACTGAAATTTTGCCAGAAAGTTAGGGGAGTGGAGTGAACAGAGGGGAAGTTAAAAGATTTGTTGTATGAGAAGCCAGTGTTGGGTGGCTTCAAGCTTAAATCTAATCCACTTCTAAAAGTGTGGAAGCTTGATTAAGACTTTAGGTAGTATGTGTTATGGAGGAGAGTCAGCATCTTGTGTCTTGTAATGTCATATTACATTCTCCATAAGTGGTTATGTCCTATTTGATAGGCAAGACTTCTGCCTCTAAAGAATGGAGGCACAGCAGTAAAGCATGTCTTTTGCCTAGCCATTCTTTTCACATTTTTCCTAAACCGTGATTCGCTTGAAACTAAGATATCCCCAAGGCTTTCATCAGCTCAATACAACTGCCTGCAAGTTTCTTCGAGGGGGTTTTCACAAGAATGCAATAATTAGAATAGATATTTCCTTACACTGAAAACCAGGATGTTCTTTAACCTTTCCTTTAACGTGGTTCACCCAGATCATCAAACTGGCTAGCAAGCAGTATCCCTAGTTTCTGACACAGCTGTCACTGCCAGCAGTCATATCTCTTGGCTTACTGTGCCCTGTTCACTAAGCCTGTCTGGGAATTAATCCTAGAAAAAAAAAAATAAAAAAAAAATTGGGAAGTTTTATCTGAATTTTTCATAAAGTCACACTTCATTGTAAGCCATAACATCAGTTATTTTCTTCTACATTTCGTCTTCTTGCAGACAGTTCTGTGCAACAAAGTCTAACAACATGGCTAGTCCAAATCGACCTACATCTACAAAGACATTTTGATGCTCATACCTCTGACCACAGTGGTATTTAATCACCTAAAAAGGAACTTGGTTACTCCTTTATAGGCCTGACCTTTTGGGGTTTGTTTTTGGTTTGTTTTGGTTTTTTTTTATATTTGCAGTGTACTTCTTAAACACTTTTGGCTGATATCTATGAGCAACATTACCAATTCTAAGCCTAGGATTTGAATTTATGGAAAAGGGTGTGTTCTGCATAAAGAAATGTGAAAATCCTAGTATGTTTTTTTTTCTCTTCAAATTGAAAGCAGGGATAATTTTTGTAAATTACAAAGAAGTTCATTTTTCCTAAGACAGAA